GTGGACTAGGGGAGGGGCATAGGAAGAGAAGAGGGAGGGAAGGAGAGAGGGTTTGGATGGAGACAAGGGAGGGGGCCATAGCTGGGATACAAAGTAAATAAATTGTAATAAATAATTAATAAAAAATTTTAAAAATAGTTTCTTTAGGACAGTTGTAAAGGGTAAAAGATACAGCATGAATATTAACAAAAAGACCTGGAATGAATATAGGTAAGGATGGAAAATTAATTTAGACACGTGGATAAAGCTAACTTATTAAGATGATACTTTTGTCTTCATTTTTTAATTCAGTTCTTTCATTATCATTAAGACATGGAATAAGGAGAAGCCTAAAATACCTTCATAGGAACAGTGAATGAAAAGTGCTATGTATTGACTAAACCCTCTTCAGCATCACTGAGAAACCACCACTTGAGCTGAGAAGACCCCCTTTTCTTATGCAGATCACTCAGTAGACAATTGTCCAATATGGTAATAGTGAAAGCCTTTCTGTCATGTGTTCCCCAACACTGGGTTTAAGATGGTGTTCACACAGTCACAAATGGCACATTCAAAGCAATGGGTCTTTGATGGCAGGGGCTGAAGTTACCATGTAGAGAAGCAGTAGACACAGCAAAGTGGGAGGATGCTCAGCAAACAGCAGGTGTCTCAGCCCGGTCACAGTGTCTCCAAGCTGCTTACCCTGGAAATCCTCAGCCGGTTTCCAAGGCTCCTTTGATTTCCCCTGAGAGTCGCTGTACCCAAAAACAGTTCTTATGGTAAACTTGAGCTGAGAAACAAATTGAGCTGGGAACACTCCCATGATTCTCATCACCGAAGAAGCTGCTGCTTTTAATTATAGCACAGATTTAGATTTCCAGAGTGTTATTTTGAGGAAAAACTGGGAGGGGTGGGAATAACGAAAAGAAACTACCAAGTTTTTGTTTTTTTCAGGCAGGGCCAGAAAATGAGCTGGTCACGTGTGAGCACTATGATGACGGAAGCAAGAGCTGGGCCGACCATGGTGGATTAGCCAGGCTGTTCTAGAATAACAGCTTATAGAATGAATCTCTCTATATATAGAAAGGGGATATTAGAATGACTTACAGGCTGTGTTCTAACTAATCTATCAATGGCCAGCTAGAATAAAGAGTTGAAGAATCCAGCAGTCTCTCAGTCCACGAGTCTGTGTCTCTCATCTGGTTTCAGTCTATGCTGGAATCCCAAAGGCATAGCTTCTAATGTCAGTGAAGTAACAGACTTGTTAGCAAGGCAAAGAAAAGTGAGCAAAGAGCAAAAGCTTCCTTCTTCCTTGCCTGTATACAGGCTGAAAGTTTGGCTCAGAATAAGCCTGGATTAAAATCCTGGATTAAAGGTATGTCATTTCTCAGCTCAAAAGATCTGTATTGAAGGTGTATCATCCTACCCCAAAGATCCAGATTAGAAGTGGATCGTCCTGCTTCAGATTAAGCAAAAATTCATCACAGGTGTGCTTTCCATTTTTGTGTTTTAGTTAATTCCAGATGTAGTCAAGTTAACAACCAAGATTAACCATCACACATGGTTAGAGAGTTTAGAATCACAAACCCATACTTGAGCTCTAATTAGGTCAATCATCAGGTTGGCTGTATGAAGTCTCCTGGTAAAGAACTCATGTCTCTATGAATAAGACAAACAAACAAAAAAGTCAAGATAATTGCCAATAATAATACACAGCCAGATAAACAGTCTAATTCCCCTGAACTGATCAATGACAAATTAGAGCTTGAAAAAATAAAAAGATGCTTGTAGTATGAAATATTCTCATAAGATATTGAAAAACAGTCGCTTTCTTCTCTTTTAGATTTCATGTTAAACATACAACCCAGTTTTCTACTGATGTCAGGAATTTCTTATTGATGTCACAGTGTTTTTTTTTCTTCTTTCGGGACATTCATGTCCACTCCATCCCCCAGCCTCCTCCATAGTTAAAGGTGACTAAACATGAGTCAAGAGAATGATAGTAATGCATCTGTCCCATTAGGGTGAACCCACAAAACTCCCTAAATATAGTTTTCATCATTGTTTTTCCTTCCAGATAGATAAAAGTCAAAACAGGGACATTGAAATCAGCATCTGAATATAGGATGGAAGAACTCAGGATGTTTCAATCCTGTGGTGGAAAGCTATGCTTTCAGGGATAGGTTGCATGGTAAAAAACTTCCTTTGTCTAGTCTCTGGGAAGAGGATGTCTCTCTCATTTCAGTTGGCATCATCTTGGCAAATTCAACAGGTTCAGCTTCCTGCTCAGAAATTAAAGAGTCTTGTTTCTGTCATGCTTTTCATTAAAAAGTGCTGAGACTTTTCAAAAGCATTTCTAATCTCATCATTTTATACACTTTCACTCTGTATGCAACTTTCCAACTGAAATTCCCAGTTGGGAAAATTCTGTTTCCATTGAGTGTTACATAAACACACAGAGAGCTAAGAGCTTTCTGATGGGAAATTTTTTCTAAGTCTTTTTGTGCACTGATAACTTTTTAGGTTAGATAGCAATGAAATTCAAAACTGTGGGAATATATTATAAAGGAAATAAAGATAAGATAAATTCATTATGCTAATTCTAAGGTTCCAATCACTAGCCCCAAATGGTCTACCAAATTAAAACACCTCTCAGAGAAGTGGCTCTCAAGGAGTCCAGAGACCATTTTCACATTATCAGCCCATTAAATGGTGAAAATGTTCCTTGGAACCTTCTCAGGGCCCCGTGAAGTCTTCAGATACACATTGACTAAAGAAGGTCATAGATTTTTCTAGGGATGCAATCATGGATTACAGTACATTTCTCAATACAAGACTCCTTTATTCCCCAATCCTATAATTTTCATTTCAATGTATGTTCCTGGTTCCAGACCAAGATTCTTTCATAATCAATCATAGTTTTAAAACTGTACCATGCAGATGACAAAACAAACTGTTCTCGGGTTTACAAATTAAAGGTTATGGAAATAAATTCTAAGGTGTTGACTCAAGCATGCAGTTCTGTGACTCTATCAGCACTCAATTTGTGTATGTAAATATTCATGAACCCCTGGAGATTTACAAGTAATGTGAATGAGAATTCTTAGTAAAGAAAGGCAGAGAGAGTTCTTTTAGCAAAAGTTACAAGAAGTAATAAACTCCTGTGGTAAACTGCAACAGAAGATAGACAGAACAGAGATAACAGACTCAGCCACAGTCAAGACATGACATGTTCATTGTCAGCTTGCTTTTCTTCTGGATTAATCTAACTTCTCTATACTCTGAGTACCTGAATCATTATATAAAATAACCTGACATTCCGGCGGCCTTAACTTTAAGCCAGCAGGTAAGTCCCAGAGGCTCCAAAGGCTGAATCCTCGTTCACTTCTATTCTTTCCCCAAGTTCCTTAATTCTTTGCCAGGCTTTCTTCCTTCTCTCTTCATTTTATCTATCTCTCCATCCTGTTATCTACATACCATAGGACAGTAATTCACAGTATCTTGCAATTATAGTTTATCTATGTCTGTCTTACAACCTCTCCTTATGCCATTTGCCAAATCAGAGCTTGCCTGTGGAAGAAACACTGGCCTGCGGTTGGACAGCTTTAAAACTTGCTCACTAGCAAATGGCACAGTCTAGGTTAACTTGTCTTTAGATTTTTAAAATATCTGTAAGATGAATTAAATGAATCTGTGTCAAAATATCAGGTATAAAAAGAAACCCTCATGGAACTCCATCTGCTGTTGGGGAACAGTAGGTGGGCATGATTCAAACACATTGTGTTCATGTATGAACTTACTAGAGAATACATTTTTTTTAATGCCCTTCCTCTGTCTTGTTAATGCAGAAGACAGAGAATAAGGGAATAAGAGAGGGTTTATCCTACTTTCAAATTTGGGTGACCATGGCCCAGAAATACCAATTTAGGTAAACCAAAATTTTATGTTCCAACATGGAAGCCATTCATGATTTTTTTTTTAAATAAAAACAGAATAAATAAAGGCATAAATCAAGACGCCTTTGAAACACATTGGTGGCAAAATCAGAGAGGTGGTTATACCAACATGAGAAGCTCCCTTGAAGGCCACAGATTACCTGATGACACTCAGTTTTGGGGTCTGTGGAAGCTGGTTGCCTGCTAATTTATTAGCTTCCAAAAGTATGTAATCATTACAGGATGTTAGCTCTGGCACAGAGATGGGCAAGGGATGGCTATTCATGGGGCTAGAGCTAGCCCAGATGTGGTAATTTGGCTCTGAACCTGCAACATTCTGACCTCTCCACACCACTGAATTTCTAATAAGCCACAGTCTCCTCAGACACAGCTTCTCTTAAGGAATTCCCATTCACTGTTTTACTGTCCTAGTTTGCATTCTATTGCTTCGATAAGTACCATTACCAAAGCAATTTGGGGGATAAAATGGCTTATTTCATCTTCCACCTCCTAGCTTATCATGAAGGAAAGTCAAGGCAGGAATCTGGAGGCAGGAACTGAAACAGAAGCCAGATGGGAACACTGTTCCTGGCTTCCTCTCCACAGCTTATTCAGTTTTCTTTATTACACAATCCAAGACCACAATCCCAGGAGTGGTACTGCTCATAGCAGGCTGGTCCTCTCACATCAGTCACCAATTAAAGAAACACACCACAGACTTGCCTGCAGGCCAACCTGATAAAGATATTTTCTTCAATGAGTTTCCCTTCATCCAGACGATTTTACTTATGTCACCATGACATCGAACTAACTAGCTCAACAATGTTTTCCTTTTCTGACTAGTTAAGCCCAACCTGTCTTCCCACCCCCTACCCCTCTCCAAGAGAAACACACAGCAGATTCTCTGAAATCACTCAAATTCTGTAGGTTTTAGCACTTGGAAAATACTAGAAACCAAGGAGAACAGATAAAACCTTACAGTAGATCCAAGAACTCCCTGAGAGCTATTCCTGCCCCCAGACCCACAACACCCCACCTATCATTGCTGGTTGACCCAGGTGGTCATCCCATGTACATGTATCTCCTACCCCCTGCCAATAGGCAAGGAGACACCTTGTTGGTGGTGATGTTCTTGTGTCAGCCAGGGGCAGAGCACATGACAGTCCCTTGTTCATCTTAGCTTGATCCCTGGCTTGATGGCAAAAAGCTGTTTTATGCCTAAGACGCATGAAAATCAAACCATATCAGATCCAGGCAGTGCATCTCTAGAGGAGGAAGACAGACCAAGACATATTCTGCTATGCCACACAATGAACACAGAGAAAGACCTCCACAGACCTGTTCTCTGCCCCATGGCATAGTCTGACTATAGACACCTGCCTGCAGCCACACCATGATGGATGGATGATGTGACTAATGGCCTATCCTCCTCCATGTGGGAGTATGTGGTGGATAGGTGAGAGAGAAAGACAAGTGCGTCAGCTTGAGCATTATGGAGAGAGATGGAACTAAAGAACACAAGAAGGCGAAGTTTAGTCTGTCATGAGTGGTCAGCCACACCAACTGGAGCCCTGGTGAGGTCCCAGCCTGAGCTGTCCTTGAGGACCATATCTGGGTCCGCAGCTCAAAGGTGGCAGAGGTCAGCATCAACGTCCAAGGCTCATATTACCACTAGAGAACATGATCTAGTGCATGTCCAGGGCCTGTCAGAACTGGTTCCATGGACCCTCCTTAGCTGCAGCACTTAGGAGAATCCACATTGTGTCTGGCCCAGTTAGCACAGTGGAGCTGGCCCTGGTGGCAGCAGGGTGTGGGTGAGCCAAACCCAAGGGTATGGGTGGCAGGGCTCTGGTGGCAGGGGCATGGGTGAACCACCCCAAGGGCTTGAGCAAGAAGAAGAGCTGGTCCTGCCAAGCTTCTGCCTTGAGGTGGCCTGGGTGGGTCGGGGCAAGAATGCCCTCTAGCCCTGAGGCAGTGAGGAGAACTGACCTCTGGGTCATGAGAGCAGGTGAGCTGCCCTTGTCCCTCAATGGCTGTAGTTCTCAGGAGAGCAGGCCCTGCTCCTCACATGGGCAGACCAGTAGTGCTTGACCTGGTCAAGAGAGCACCAGTAAGCCAGTCTTGAGGATGAGATATCAGGAGAGCTGGTCTGCTGTGAGGTGGCAAGGGCGCAGAAAGATGCCCTCCCCCGAATCCCTCACCGCCTGTAGCAGTCAGGAGACGGGGCTCTGAGACCATGAGTGCTGGTGAGCTGGCTCTGCCCCTCAATGGCTGCAGTACTCTGGAGAGTGGGCCCTATACCTTGCCTGGGCAGCACAGTAGAGCTGTCTCTCAAGGAGTGGGTGTGGGTGAGCCTCCTCAAGAGCATGAGAGCAGGAGTGCTGACCCTACCTCCTGCTGATGATGGCATTGTGTGGTCTAGGGCATTGGGTGGCTTAGCCTGAGCAGTGATGGAAAGCTCACCTGGGTGGTGCTAATAAGGGAGAGCTTATGTGCATGACCCACTCAACAACCACCCAGGTCCAGATCCACCACTCTGAGTTGTCTTACCCCAAAATCTATATCATCTACGAATGCATGAAAGGACCAGTCCTGCTGATTCAAAGCTGAGGGATCTCCATGAGTCAGGACAACAACAGGATGACTGGGAGAATTCCCCATGAGGATCCAATATTGATAGTGTAACAGAAGCCAGAGATCTCTAACCAGACCAACGACTCATTATAATGAATGTTGGCAAGTGAAGAAGTGTGAATAGAAGGATATACTGTGGACCACACTGTGACACACTACAGCTTCATGACAACAACAACAACAACAAAAACAAAAACAAAAATCTCCTGCCAACCCAGTCTTCAGTCACCTCCTAAAGCATGACTAAGCTCCTTGATTGCTCCTGCAATATACTCTCCAGCCTGAGAATGGCATACTCTTTTCCTCAATCCTGGTTCTAAGGTTCTACTGCAGCCTCATTTTTACCGTTTTGCATCATAAATGCTGATCTCTGAGGACATAAAACTATTGTAACACTATCATATTTCTGATCATTTCAGAGGGAAGGAAGGACAGTGTGGAGTTACACACAGAGACTTGCCCATAGTAATCTTTAAGATGATCTGCTGAGTGTTTATGGCAAACATTGTGCTAGCCATACTACATGCTCTTTCAGTTAAGCCATGTAAAGAGCTTTATTTTAGGTGGTTATCTCCATTTTCAGTTGACATCACAGATTTAGATGTTCATTTGCACTTAGGGACACATAGCTGATTCAAGGAACAATTTGCGCTGTGATTTCTCTGCCTGTCCCGTTTTCCTCCATCTACATGGCCTCACCATGAAAAGCTGTGAGTATAGGGTATGTGCTGCCAGGGTTAGGTCTCATCCCACCAGTTACACGCAGGTGACTTTTTGTGCAGATTATTGTATTGGAAAACATCTAGTCCATAAAACCCACACAAGAATCTAGTGAGAAAACAGGCATAGCGTTTGGCGGCCAGCACCATTTATTTTCATCATCTCTGGCTGGCAGGCTCTTGCTTATTGTATAAGACCCAGCCTTAATGCTGCCTTCTAAGTTGACACCTTATCTAACTCTGCCAGCTCGGACTGTTTTCTCCTAAGCTCCTATGTGACTCTACTCTTAGAATTGCTCTAATATTTGTTCTCTGTGAGAAAGGATGCTCTGGAAAGCATATGATTTGCCAGCTTAGCCCAAGTTTCAAAGAAAGCTATGCTCAAAGGACTTAAAGGTAGAATAGTTTCGAAGCATAGTCACAAAATGCAAGAATCGTGGCTAGATAGAAGGAACAACCAAAGGGGGAAAGACCCATTATGAGATTTGCTATTAAGTCAACTATTATAGCCGGTAGTTGGTAAGAATGAGCCTCTAGCCAAACTATGAAAAGCTCTGCAAGACTTAGTGCTCACAGTTTTCCCATAGAGGACATTAAATCTGAGAGTTTACATACACCAATTAAACATGAGTAACAGGAGGCCCTTGGACCCACCCCTTTCCCCATACCTTTATGTACAGTGTTCAAAAGGGCGGCCCTTCATTATGGCAGTGCTACCTAGCACTGTGTTTTCTGTGTGTGTCCAAGCATTCCTGTCACTGCTGGTGCAGCTGTCACCCGTTCTTGCACTTAGTCAAATTCATTTCTCCCAGACTTTCTACATAGTCACTTTCCCTGTGCAGTGATGATAACCACAGTGCGACCAAAAAATAACAATGGAGAGAATGAAAAGGCTGAAGAGAGGGAGAAAGACAACTGAGGAGGATTGGAAAGAATGGGGACAACAAATGAAAGAAAACATATTACAGAGAAGAATAGGAAGAAGAAGGACAGGGTCTGCCCTGTGGTTTGGGATGTAGCTGTCTCCCTCAGCTTATCATCTTTCAAGGCAGGAACAAATAAAATAAGACACTGAAGAAATAACAGCCTCCCAGAATGGTACACAGAGGGCTGTTGAAACACCAGTCCTGGGTTTTTAATAAGAGGATAAATTACTGAACCAGGGTCCTGGCTTCTTTATGTATTCCTTACCTGATCAAATGATAAACAAAAACAAAAACAATACCCCTGTTATTATATAGTATGACAAGGCCTAATCCTCAGCATATTCGGTTTGAGAAGAAACTGAAAGAAATACAAGTGAGAATTTTTTTTCTCTTGCAGTACCAGGTAATGAGTTTCATAATGGGACACAATCACAAGTTATATAATCAAGTAGGTCAGAGCTATTGATCTGCCCAATGACAAGACTTCTTGAGTGAATTGCATTATCCCAAGAAGACACTTCTAATGCTAATAATGCCAGAAACCTTTGCTTGAGTTCTGTGCTTTCATTAGTATTTGGCTTGTTGCTTTTGCATATTAAAAATGCCAGATCCAAGCACCCTTGGGGAGCAATGTCGTATGTGGAGTCCTATATCACCTGTCACCTCCACATGAGCATAAAGCCACCATGGCCATGTATCTGTATCTGTCATCCTGTCATTTCTGTCATTCATATTAGTATACTCTACATCTTGATATTACATTTGACACATCGAAAGGGATAAGTCAGAAACTCAGGGCTTGTGCCTGCTCAGTGCTGATGAGCTGAAGAACAAAATCACCTCAGGAGCACTGCTCAGATTCAATCCAGAGTTACTGTAAAGAAATTTATGTTGTCTTGTTCCCCAATACCTCTGAATATGCAAAAGCTGACATTTTCTTAAATTCCTTAGATTTTTTTTATGTTTTGCTTTGTTTTGTTTTGTGAAAAACATGGAAGACTTAGCTGTGAGCACACAAGTTCTCTGTAACCACTAGACAAGGTAAGTCCCAGGTGCTCATCTGAATTCTCAGTGTCTCATAATGACAGAGGCAAAAGCAATCTCTAAATATCAAAACAGCTATCAGTGTGTCTCCCTCTCCTCCACCTGCCTTCTTCCCAAAGGGTGCATGTAGTTTGATGCACAGATGCTGATTGACAGAGAAGGAGGAGAAGAAAGAAGACATAGAGAAAGAGGAGGAAGAGGAAGATGAGGATGATAAGGAGGATGAAGAGAAAGCTTTACAGGATTTTGGGGCCCACTTTCCCCACCGCCATTGATCTGCCCTTGAAGTGAAAAACATAAGGCTGTGATAAACAATCCCCACCTTGAAGAATGTCCTATTATCATAGTATAGGTTCTATGGAGGTCACCTTGAAGCTAAAGGTGTATTTCTCTGCACTGTGGAAACTGTTGGAGTCTCTCCATCATCTTCCTGTCAACTCTGCTTGTTATGTGAGATTAAAGAGCTTGACATCTTCTTTCTTTTTTTATTACAGTTTATTTACTTTGTATCCCAGCTGTAGCCCCCTCCCTCCTTCCTTCCCAATCCCACCGTTCCCCCCTTATCTCCTTCCTGCCACTCTCTAAGTCCACTGATCCTAGCTTATCAGGTCTCTTCAGGGCTGGCTACAATGTCCTTTTCTATGGCCTAGCAAGGCTGCTCCTCCCATGGGGGGGGGGGTGTCAAAGAGCCAGCCATTGAATTCATGTCTGAGATAGTCCCTGTTCCCTTAACTAGGGAACCTACTTGGATACTGAGCTGTGATGGGCTATATCCGGGCAGGTTATATCCATTCATGGTCCTTGGTTGGAGAATCAGTCTCAGAAAAGACCCCTGGGCCCAGATATATTTGGTCCTTGTGGAGCTCCTGTCCTCTCCAGGTCATACTAACTCCCCCTTCTTTCATATG